GTTCAACAATTATCTCATTTCCCTCTCATAAGCCATTTAAGTTGGTCTATGAGTATGATTACTGGTTAATATTTATTTTCTTTCCTATACCAAAATCTTCTTGAGGGTAGGATTTTCTTCTCATTAATTTCTACATCCAAAATGACTTCTAAATATTTATTAAACAAATAGCCACCTCTCAGTGTATTGTCTAATACACTAGATATAAGGCAAAAAAGCTACTACATAGATCTGTGATTTCCAGGATGTTGTACTTTTGCTGAGAGTTATGAAAAAGAAATGAAGAAGAATGTAAGAATAAAATGCATGATCTCACAAGCCATGAAAACTGTTCTGAAAATGTAGAGATTCAACCATGTAATTATAAAACATGTAAAAAGAAATTTTCTCCTTAGAGTAGGGTTGACAAATTCAGCAAATGAAAATAAAAACACGGGTAACTGGTTAAGCTTGAATCTCAGATTAACAATGAAACATAATTTTGCACAAGTAAGTTCCAAATATTGCAAGACATACACTTATGCTAAAAATATTTATGGTTTGTCTAAAATTCTAATTTAACTGGGCTGTCTTATAGTTTATTGGGTAACTCTACCCTCTGAAATAGCAACATTTCCTAATTGGCTAAAGACAAAGAGATGCAGGAGAAGAGTTGCTGTTTTCAGGTTGACATATAAAAATATTACCTCAAAATGACTCATTAACTTTTTTAGCAACCAACATCTGTAGAATTTTTACTTATTCTTGTGCCCTCTTAATTCTATATTTTTCACAACTCTGTGATTTTTCAATCTTGGATCTGCCTTCCTCATTTACTTTCTGGAACCTGATTCCATGGCTGTCAAGGAAGTTCTGTCTTAGATCAGGGTAGCAGAGACAAATTATATTTGTGTAGTGCTTTTACTTCCATATTTGTCTAATGCTCACTGTAGTGTAGTAGCTGCTATTATCCCATTCCATAAATGAGGTCAAAAGTTATGTTGTGCTTGTAATTGTTGCTGTACTCGTCGTCTGATGCAATTGAGGGCAAACAGTATAAGAATCAGGAGGGCTGGAAAAGACAGAACGGTCTTTGTGTGCAAGGTGCTGAGTCCAAGGTGCTGAGACCAAGAAAGCCAGATCTGAAGGTGGGCTGCCAAGGGAGGCAGGCAGGTTTTGTACTTAGTCTATCACAAAGCTTCCCCCTTCCATGTGAACAACAAAATATTCCATAACTCATTGACAAGGTGTTAGGTTGGAATGGTTGCTTCAGGCACTAATTATAAGGATATAAATACCAAAGAGAATTGAGAAACAGATACTTATGATGTAACTTTTCAAAGAAAATAACTAAGCACCAGTATTACATTCCTGGGTCCTTCACCCAGGGTTTTCTCATCCCAATTATGCATATAACAGAGAGGGCAGATTTTCATGGAAAGCTTTGAACTTGTTTTCATTATTATTATTCTATGATTACTTCATCCCAACCCTCACCAAGAGGGAGGAAGAGAGGGTGTTAGCTTGAGGCTCAAGGGAAGGATATTTTAGAACTTACAGCCTCACTCACCTGCCAGACATAGAAATCAAGAGTGAAATACAGCTAAGCTGGAAACCTGCTTAAAGGTTGGACAGAGGAGAGTGGAGCGGACCTGAATTGCCTTGGTGACTGCTGTGAAACAGCTGTGGACTGATCAGGCAGCCCCATGAGGTCCTCAAAGAGCAATAGAATTTCACCAGAGAAATCTTTTTCAGCGAACAACCAGGGCCAAATCGGAGGTACTGGCTGAATTGGTAAAATGCACAGCCTACCTCATGAGTGTCACCATTGGTTTTTCTCAGAGGAACCATGTGGCTATGGGGTCTTGAATATGTCATTTCCATATGGCTTAGAGCCAGTTTATGATATTACTGATCAGGTAAGGACACTTTGTTTTCTGTATCCTCCCTCCTCGTGTTCCAACCCAGAGACTTTGGCAGGTGCTGCTGAGGCTGGGAGGCCGCTATGGATGGGAGCAGAGACAGGGAAACCTAACCTAAGGCTGGTGGGCCTCTGACATGCCCGGTGGGAGGAAGTGAGGTGAACAGCACTGAATGGGGATTGAAGACATCCTCATTTCTGACTTGAGTCACATAAAGAGACAGGGGTATTTTCTGTCCTGGAGGAATGCCCAGTATAACACGGGGCCTTCCCCATGGTGGAGGGGAAAGGCTGCGTCACAACCTACTTTTGTAAGACCAGTGGTAGAGTCGTGGTTACACTTTAAAATATATATTACATACCCATATAAATTATTAAATGAGCCCTATGCACAAACCACTTGACTGAAAAAATAGAAATGTGTAAAACCCTTACATTTCTGTGGCCCTCAGCAATTATATCTTATATCCGATCCCTGCTAATGGATATTCCTATATTTGACATATATTCATAACCTTCTTAAAAAATTATCTGGTAACAGTACTTAGAATTGAACTCAAGACCTCACACTTTCTAGGCAGACACACTTGGCTCCCATCCTCTTTTGCTTTAGCTATTTTTGGAATTAGGTCCTGTGATCATGCCCAGGCCAACTTGAACTGTGATTCTCCTATTTACACTTTTCATATAGCTAAGATTATAGGTACATATCATCATATCCAATTTATTGATTGAGATTAGGGTCTGGATAACTTTTTGTCTATGGCCATAAAATGTGATCCTTTTTATCTCTACCTCCTGAGTAGCTGGAATTATTAGTGTGAGCCACTGCACTTGACTTTGTTTCTATAAGCAAATTCTTATATATGTTAATATTCTATCATGTGTTATGGTTCTTTGACTTGAACTTTGTCATATGGTATCAAACTATGTGTTTTATTCTATGACTTGCTTATTTCACTATTAAGCTATTAAGGTTAATCCATGTTCAAACATAGCTATGATTTCTTTATATCCACTGCTGTGGAGCATCTGATGAAAGCACACTAACTGAATTTCTGCCTATAGATACTTGGACCACTGACATTTCTATCACATATAATACAGTCATAAACATGTTTAAAAGGGCTCATGTGTAAGAGCTTTTTGTTTAGAGAATATACCTAAGAGTAAAATTGCTGAAGTTATGCCATCATTTTAAAAAATTGTGTGTCGAGCTAGAGATAAAACTCACGGCTTTGCAAGTGCTCTTGCGCAGAGCTACAGCCCCAGACATGGCATGATTTTTAAATGGCTACCAGCTCATTTTCCAAAATAATTGAATCACATTCCAACACTCTCAAATTCCCACCTCCAAACTACCATCGTAACATATCCCAGGCAGTACTTGATAATCAGAATTTTAAAGTATTTTCCCGGCTGGGCACTGGTGGCTCACCCCTGTATCCTAGCTACTCAGGAGGCTGAGATGTGAGGAGGTAGAAACCAACCCAGGCAGAAAAGTCTATGAGTCTCTTATCTCCAATTAATCACCAAAAAGCCAAAAGTGAAGGTGCGACTCAAATGGTTGAGCCTTGAGGAAAAAAAGCTAAGCTGAGAATGCAAAGTCCTGAGTTCAAGCCCCAGTATACACACACACACACACACACACACACACACACACACACACACACACACACACACACACACAATTCCAATGTAGTGGGCTTTACATAGTGTCTCATTGGAACTCTAGCTCACATTTTTGTAATTGCTAAAGATTCTAGTTTTTGTTATTTTAAATGAATCCATTTGTACTGGAGGTAAGGAAATAATAAAAGGAGTTTATTAAAAAAATAAATTAATCCATTTCTATAACTTACAGAAATCATATGGAAAGATGAGAAAGAATAATAGAAAGGGTGACATTGACCAAGATTATATTCACAAACTGACATGTTAAATTGAAACTACCTACTGAAAGATAATAAATACAAATAAATAAATCAGATGGAAGGTAGGACAGATGGGTCAGTGTTGATTTAAAATTATATTTAATCTAACGAAGTGATTAATCAAAGTATGACAAATTCTTATTGGACAAAGTCTATCAACTGGTCTTGGACCCCTACGCCACTAAGATGTGGCTACCTATTTAGATGCCAGTGCAGACTTGGTTAATACTCTGCTATCCACACATGGCCTGATCTCTACCTGGTTCAATGTTCTCCATCTGCTGGCCAGAGGATGAGGGGCCAAAAGTTGGAATCACACTTTGGAAATAAATGTTTGGTTCCATTACTTTGAGAAGAAGTCATTTAGAACTGCTGGGATCAGGTTCCTTGGCTTCATTGTCTTCCTGATAGGATTTTGATTTCCTACATGAAATTCTCCTTTGGACTTATTATGGTTTAAATAGCTTCTTCCTTTTTAAAAAATTCTCTTTAACAATCATCAGTATGTTCTGGGCTGCATGTTTTTCCTTTTTAGTATATGGTTTGACTTCTTCCTGTGAGATAAAAGGACATTCAAGTAAGCTCATGTACTTATGCCTAACTAGAGGTTTGAAGACAAATATGGCTTTATTATTATTTAAGAACATTATATTTTTAATTTTTAACTTATCTTTAAGTAGTTGTACAAAGGAGTTTCAATGAACATAACAGTTTATAACTATAATGTATCTCCATCAATGTTACCCCTTCCATCTTTTTCTCCTGTATCTTCTAATCCCACCTATCTCCTTAATTTACCTGGTTCTATGTTCACATATGTATATTGAATATAATGACTGTATTCATCCACCCTTCTCTTCACTTATTTGCCCCTTCCCCTTCACCTCACTCTTCCTGACAACAAATGTTTATTTTGTTAAACTATGAGTTGGTTGTTTGATCGAGTTCCACCATTGCAAACCTCCCCTGCACGTGACATATTCTAAATCATAGTTTATGTATATATGCATATGTTTTCATACATGTTTATAAGTTAGATCTAACCTCTGTGGAGGAGAGAAAACAAGCACACTTGAGCACTTCAAATGTCTGTACTCTGTTCTAGGAATGTTTCATAGCATGGTCCAGCCCATTTTTCAGATCTCATGTTCACTTTCCTCTCTCAGTTATCCAGTCAGTAAGCTGGTGGTAAGCTGGATAATGGCTCACGAAGTTTCAGCGAATGTTATACCAGCAGAAACCCTGCCAGCTTGGACTGAAAATGACTGAGAGGATAGAATGAAAGTAAGCTATTGGGACTCCCCAGATTCTACAGGCAGGAAACAGCCTGGTGTGAGTACTTTACTTCAAACAAAGGGGGGTTACTCTAAGGGAAACTGTGGGCCAAGAACCTTAGAGAAACATCCAGGCCCTGAAATGCAGTCAGGTTTGCCTGATTGCATTCAGAAATTGGTTAGGGAAACAGACATCCTTTTTCCTTGTATGTTTCCTATTATTGGACAGTGATGTCCGTAACTGTTATCCTTTGCCTGTCCTACTAGCTTCTTTGAACATAAAACTTGTTTTCTAATTTCACAGATCTACAGAAAGAAGAATTGTCCTCTTGGATGGATTATATGCTGAGATTCACCAACACCTGATTTAGATAACTTGATTTGAGACTTTTGAATGGATAAGAATTAGATGAGATTTTTAGAGTAGAAGTTGGAATAGGTCTGAACCTATGGCCTTCAAGCACTGTGGGGTGATTTTTCAGGGCCTGGGCACTCTCCTGAGCTTTTGTACTCAAGGCTAGAACTCTACCTCTTAAGCCAAAGCTCCATTTCCTGCTTTTTGGTAGTTAATTGGAGATAAGAATCTCGTGGACTCTCTTGGCTGTGCTAGCCTTGAACCCTGGGATTACAAGTGTTTTGCTATCCACTGGGGGTGAATCTTTGAGGGTCAGAAGGTGGACTGTAGTAGGCTGAGTAATAAGCTTTCCAAATATGTTCAAATTTTAATTCTTGGAACCTGTGATTGTTACTTTATATGGCAAAAGACCTTTGTAGGTGTGATTAAGTTACGGATCTTGACTTTATCCAGGCGTGATGTAGTCACAGTGACCCTTGTAAGAGATATATGGGAAGAATCAGAGCCAAAGGAAAAGGCCATGAGAGGGATATCTGCAGCCTCTATATGATGGAAGAGGCAAGAAATAAATTCTTTCTGGGAGCCTTCAGAAATAACTATTCCTTTGAGACCTTAGTTGTAGCCCTGTAAAACTCATTTTTGCATTTCTTACTTCTAGAACTTGAAGCAATATGTCTATGTTGTTTTAAACCAGTTTCTTGGGACTTTGTTCCCAAGAAGCAAATCATCTGTTAACATACTGTCTGTTGGGCTAGGGTCCTGAAGTGCTTGTGTAATTTTGAGAACAGTAAGCAGATCATCGATGTGTAAATGAATAAACAGGCTTTAACAAATTATCCTGGTTATTCCTTATATCTGATAAATTTCCTTATTGTTAGACAAAATAATGTCCTTAAATGACTAAGAAGAGTCTGAGTTAATTGAACGTATTTATAAGATAAATGTTTCTTAACTTAGCAGCTGTGACCTGGAGTACAAATCTTTAGCTTTTATTAAATAAAAGTATGTGCATTTATCAAAGCCTTTAGGAAGACACACAAGGTATAAAATTGTCTTTGCTAAAATGGCAGGAAGGTCATGTTATTAATATTCCTATAAAATCCTGTTGGGAAAAATGCCGTGGTTGAAATTTGTGAGGCATGTCTTTGATCGGGCTGGTTATTTAGAACAAGTTTAGGCAGATGTAGCATGACATATGTAAAATGTGTGAGCTTTCAGTTTTAGGAAGTTCAGAAATTCATAAGAATGTGGTCTTTATCTCATGCTCACTTTTTGTTTGTATCAGCCAGGTATTTCAAGCATCCAATATTTAACTGATTTGCATTAAATGTAGAGATGTGTATTCCTTAATTGGAAGTGTGAACTGTTTGCATTTCAAGACAACATTACAAGGGGCAGAGAAGGTGGCTCAGTAGTATAGTGCTTGTCTTGCATGCATGAGGCCCTGGGTTCGATTCTTCAGCACCACATAAGCAGAAAAAGTCAGAAGTGGTGCTATGTCTCAAGTGATAGAGCACTAGCCTTGAGCTGAAGAGCTGAGGACAGCGCCCAGGCCCAGATTTCAGGCCCAATGACCGACAAAAACAAACAAACAAACAAAAAACTACATTAATAAGTTGTAGTGTCTATGTTGGAACTAACTTATAAGTTAGCTGTCTTCCCTTCAGCATTGAAGCTTTTCCAATTAACTACCATTTGAACTTAGGGTAATTAGGTAAGACAGGGTGCAGCCAAGAGACCAGATATGTTGGTTATAAATGTGATACATAATCCAAAGGCAAATCAAGGACAGTGTAGGACAAATCAAGCAGATGTGTAGGACTAGGACATGGCTTCTAAATTGAATACAAAACTAGCAGAAGGAGTGTATTAGTCACTTCCTGCTGCTATGACAAGTTACCACAGATTTAACGTCATTTTTTTCTTTTCTATTACTGGAAGTCATAAGTCCAAAATGGGTATCCCTAGGCTAAAATCAAACTATTGTCAAGCTTTCCTTTTCGGGGGTGGGGGGAGGGTGGCATTCTAAGGGAGAATCTGGCTCTCCTGGCTCTCCTGCCTCCCCTTCTCCCCTGTTTCCAGCTTAAATGTTCTCCATGTTCAATGCCAGTAACAAGGTTAACACTTCCTCACTTCACACCAATCTGAAACTGAATCTTCTGCTTCCTCTTCCTCCTCTGAAGACTCAAATGAGGAAAACGTCACCAGTTACCTAGTGTTTAGGAAGGATGCTATGGCTAGGGCCTGAAAACTAGCCTCAATATATATAGGCAGATTACCTAGGATTGTTACAGTTGCGCAGCAAATTAACAAATTTAATTCCATCTGTAATTATAATTTGTTTGTTAAACATCATAATGTATGCACAATATTCATGTATTAGGAATTAAACCTCTTCATGAGACTGCTATTCTGCTTTGTAAGTGGTGCTGTAGGGCCCAGAGGCTGGGATGATCCAGTGGAAGCAGAACCACAGCACAGATTTCAGTCATAAATGGACAGGTATGTGGACAAGTCACATCCCAGCCAGTGTGTGGGGAGAAGAAACACCTGAGGTCCTTGCTAGAAAATGGAAGGGTTCTAAGCTTTGGGATCTTTTCTTTTCCTTTCTTCATACAGAATCTCAAAAACCTTTTATTGGGTACTAGGGCATGTATATTTACAACTTTATGAAGTATACCAAGGCTATATATATAGAGAGAGAGACTAATCTTATCAGAATTAGCACATTGAACCTCACAAAAATCTATCCCCTATCCTATGGGATAGCCTGCGTTGAGTCTGGGGGGAAATCACATGGTTACCGAGTGTGATCATTTGTAGAGTGACATTTTTCCTGAATACAGGCTGAATGAGGTGAGCAGAAAGAGGGTGTCCACAAAACAAAAACAAATGAACAAACAAAATCCCCACACAGCTCATTCAAGTTTCTCCCAAACACTGTTATTATAATATTATAATATGCTTAATAATAATAATAAAATAATCATAATGAAGTCATTTTGCTGAAATTCACAGCAAATGGGATTCAGAGGATTAGTGCATGAAGGAAATGTCAATGTTAAATCCATAGATGGTCCCTTTAGCACCACATGTCATAAATTAAAAGCAGGCACAAGCAAGAAGGCTTGGAGAAGGGGAAGGCTGCCAGGCACCGGCTGATCTCCGTTTACCTTTCTTTCTGGAGCACACATGCTTGGCTGCTTTCCCTCGGCCCCTCCCCCAGCGACAAGTCACCTCAGCAACGGCCAGCATCAGGTGTCACAACTACTAGTGTGATTGGGTTAATGGCTGTGCTGTTTTCCCTGGAGAAGCGGGGACAGACAGGCCTGCCTTTGTCTCTGCCAGGAGAGGTCTGAATTTCAAACTTCATCGCAGACAATGTGCCTGGGAGCCATGGGGTTTGGGTCATTTGGCCCCAGCTTGTTCTCTGCTGGACCACCATTCTGAGTCTCAAGTTTGGTTTGAATCCATGAAGAATCTCCCCTCCCCCACCCCTTTCTGAGCTCTGAGCTCTGAGCTCTGGGCATGTGGGAGGCGGGATGCTGGGGAGACTGGGGAGACGGCTCTCATTTCTCCTTTCCCACCTCTCCTGCCTTAGGGGGTCTAGGCCAAGGATGCAGGACAATGTAGATGCTGAGTATGCGTATGTGTTGGCTGTCTTACTGCAGCCTTGTTGGTGATAATAGCTCTTGTTCCTAAACAAATGCTTTATAAATTCTAAAGGCTTTATAATTCCTGAGCTGCTGATGTCACCTTCTCCTTTGTTTTTTGATTTCTGGTGCTGGTTCTGGGGCTTGAACTCAGGATCTGGGCACTGTCCATAAATTTCTTTTGATCAAGGCTAATGCTCTACCACTTGGGCGAAAGCTCCACTTCTGGCTTTTTCTGAGTAGTTTAATTGGAGGTAAGAATCTCCTGGCCTTTCTTGCCTGGGCTGACTTCATACCACAATCCTCAGATCTCTGTTTCCTGAATAGGATTATAGGTGTGAGCCATCAGTGCCTGGCTCACCTTCTTTTTATACATGAGGACATTCAGGCCGAAGAAGTTAGGTTAGTGTTATGAATTGAACTGCATCCTCAGCCCAGTTCACATTTTGAAGTCCTAACTTTGGTACCTCAGGTACCTATGGTACTCACATTGAGACAAGATGGTGTGGGAAGGCTGTGTCCTTGAAGACAACACTCAGGTAAAATGGACTCATGGGTTGAGCTCTTATCCAGTGCTACTTTGTGTCCTATAAAAAGAAACGGGGACCCAACAGCACAGAAGGAATACGGTGTGAAGATTGATCAGTCTACACAGAGTAAGACCTCAAAGGAAAAAGCCTGCAGACACCGGCATGGCTAGACTTCCAGCTCCCAGAACTGTGATAGCATCCATTTCTCCTAGTCTGTGTCACCCAGTCTGTGGTGCTCTGAAGTGGCTATCCAAAAGTACACATAAACCAGGAAACCCAACTTACAGCAACCACACTGCCCGTGTAAACTTCACAGTTGATCTGTACTGTGTGTCCAGTAACATGTAATTGACTCATGTGTTGGAAGGACATGATGCTTCTATCTATATTTCTATCTCTTTTCATATTTATACTTCCTGACAAATTAGGAAAGAAATCCCTCTAAGGACTTACTTCACACTGCCTTGGGATCTCCAGTGTGCTCCAGATGAGTTGCAAAATTTTCAGAAAAAAATCTACTTTTCTCTTTAATTAAAGGGGGAAAACCCATAACCATGCAAAACAGCACTGGGTTTTAGGGACCGAAGGCAAATTTCAGAAAGCCAAACAAGGAAACTCCCCCGTAGTGGAGGCTTTCTGACCCCAGATCATTCATCAGTAGTCTCTCAGACAAATAAAGCAATTTTTATTTTCCCAAAGGATGGAGACCTTTAGGTGGGACGGGGCCCAGTGCTGAGGCCAGGGCAGGAAAGGCCCCACAAGGAGCGATTGAGAGTCATAGGGTGGGGCTGTGAACTGGAAGCACTGGTGGAAACCTGCTGAACCAGGATGGGGTGTGGGTAGCCCTTTCTTGGCCATGCCCCAGGTAAGCTAGGCAACCTACTGGTTGATCCTGATCTACTGGTTGAGATTTCTTGCCCTAGAGGATCTTACACAACTGAGTGCTCTGTTTTTCCTTGAAGATGGAACCAATAGCAACTGGAGACTGGTCCATGGCC